TCCCCTGTACAATGTGGCCTTTGGCTGTCAAGATTCCACACACTCGCTGATGCCCCTCTCCTATGCACAACCATCTTCCATACTTGAAAGGACTTATTCAAGTAGGTGAATATTCTTTCTTCTGTCTGGGAGGGAGCTGATTGTCCTCAGAGGTCATCTTGGACAGGATGGGGAATCTTCATCTCTGTCAACACAAGCAAGATTTGTGGTCCTAGGAGGCAATGCAAGTGACCTTGATTGTGGAATGTGAAAACATGTATTTTTCTATTTTCCACAAGCTCCCAATGCAGTGGGCATGTTATTTCCTCCTTGCTGTGTGAGTCATCAGAGGCCCAAAGAGGTTTAGAAACTTGTGTAGGAACACATGACAGGGCTTACCAGAGGATTTCAGGCAGTCTTGATCTAAACTCCTAGGTTCTCAAATACTGTGACTACCATTGATGTGACTACCATTTATTCAAACACCCACCCCTTCATAAGCCCACCTCTCTACCCATCCTTTTACCTGTCACCCTCCTATTCATCCACCAGTCATCCTTCCATGCATTTATCCACTTACCCACCAACTATCCATGTGTTCATTCATCCATCTACCTACCCACTCACCCATCCATCATCCACCCACCCAGCCATTCATCATTCACCCACCTATTCATCCATCCATCTGTCCATCCATCCATGGATCCATCATCCATCCACCCATCCACCTGCCCACCCACCCACTATGTCTGCTGTGTAACACTGGCATCTGCCTAATCTTGGGAAGAGATTCCTCTACTATGGGAGCCAAGCTCATGATTTGTGGAGCTGGACACTTCCACACCAGTACACAGCCCTTAGCTCCTAAGAACTATGCATTTGCTAACAACACTGCAGGCTGGTGTCCATGGGAATGATACTCTTAGAGGCAGTGCCAGGCTTGTTCCCTTTCCCTGTTCTGTCAACCTGTAGATGATCTCTCTCCAGAGTGTCCTCACAAGAAACAAAGCTTCAAATTAGTTAGAAACCCTCAGCACTTTTCAGAGCATTATTACAAATGACCAGAAGCATTCTTAGACCCCCACAGGCTGGAAGTTGGATGAGTTGGTCACAGTGTTACTTTTAAAAAACTGCTATAGAGTTTGTGTGACTTCGCCAATAAATCTAAAACAGATGTTCACAGAGTGTTTTGTAACGAAGGGAATTGTAATAGACATAGGCCACTTTAAGTAGAGATAAATCAATTAAGGAATCAATTAAGTTGTCTAAGAGAGGCAGTATTATAAAAAGGAAATACAGCCTAGCTATTTCCATGTTTATAAGCACAGAACGGTAAGCGCTGTGCCATTATTTCACATGGCTTCTGTTACATGTTAGCTACCAGGGAGACATACTTTACAAAACTTCAAACGTGAACAGAGTCATATAAGGAACCCTTTCTGTCTGTTACTCCAACAGTTATCAGCCTGTCTGTACCCACTTCCCACTCTCAAATGATCTTTTCATAAGTTTCAAGGGCAACTTGTTGGCCTGTCCCTCAGTGTCACTGAATCTGAATTTCATCATATAAATGTGTTATATGGACATTGAAATTTATGTTTGAGAGTAGGCACATAGTTTACTGAGAAAGTACTCATCTAGCATTGGCAAGGCCCTTGGTTCAACACCCCCGCCCCGGTATGAAAAAAAATCCCCCCATAATTAAAGAATGAAGTATGTGTTTGAATGCAATTGTTAGTTTTTCACTGAGGCTGTGCATTTGGGGGAGGGTCGGAGAACACTGGGAATTTCTACCACATTTAAAAAACTTTATTAAATCCGAGAATTTTATACATGCATACATGTATTTCAATCATATTCATCCCTTGTCCCCCTAACTTTTCCAGATCCACTCTCCACCCTCATGCCCCTCCCATGCCCCCCCCCTCTACCCACCTAGTCCAGTTTGTGCTACTCATGTACTCAGAGGTGTGAAGTCATCCCCTGGAGCATGGATAACCATACCCTTACAGAAAACTGACTCTCCCTCCCCCAGAAGCCCAAAACCAGTACTGCTTTGAGTTCATGAGTATAACAGTCCTGTCATGTCCAAAAGACAGTTTCACCCCAGTCCTCTCCAACCTCCGGCTCCCCTTTTCCAAGATGTCCCATTTGTGACTAATATTTATTCTCTTCATTTTGGCCAGCTGATATCACATTTTTTAATTAAAAAATTTCAAATCTATAGCAAAACTGAAAGGATAATTAACGAACTTACCATTACCCTTCACTGAGGGCAGAGGAGATGGCTCATTGGGTAAAAGGACTTCCTGCCAAACCTGATGTCCTGAGTTCAGTCCCTGGGTCCCACATAGTAGAAGGAGGGACTAGACACTGGCAAGATGTCCTCTGCTTGCCACATGTGCACCGTAGCATTCCTCTACCAGCGCACACACACACACACACACACACACACACACACACATACACACACATACAGTAAATAGTAAATAAATGTTGAACAATTTTAATAAAAATACCTTTTGAGTGTTTCGCCTACATGTATGGAAGTGTACCCATGTCTTGCAAGACCCACAGAGACCAGAAGAGGGCATTCAATGCCTTGGAACTGGATTACAGACAGTTGTTAGCTGCCATGTGGGTGCTGGGATTGAAACTGGGTTCTCTGAAGAGTAACCAGTGCTCTTAACCACTGAGCCATCTCTCCAATCCCCCAAAATACCCTTTACTTAGATACATCAGCTGTTGATACAACCTGGCATTTCCCATGGGAGTACTTCTTACCTTCAAAGATTCATAGTTTGTGGCACATGGCTTGAGACGTAGCCAACAGGTTCAGACCTCACCTTTACCACGTTCTGACTTGTACCTCCTTGGCGCATTGCCTCACACCCAGTTTCTTTGCCTGTCAGATGGGAGATGGATGAAATGCCCATGGCAGCATGCAGGGCACCTCCTACGCTCTCAACAAGCACTGCTCATCCTCTGCCTCCTTTCCACCCCTGTGTGGAACTTGGGGTGGGGGGGGGTCTTGCTGCTTGTGCTTGGGGAGATCTGGGCTTTGCTGACTCAAATCCATTTTGCTCGATATGGAAGACTCTTGAGAGAGCTGGCATGGCCTAGGGATTAAGAGATGAGGTCTGGGGTCTGAAGAGATGGCTCAGAGGTTAATAGCACTGGCTGCTCTTGCAAAGGTCCCAGGTTTGAGTTTCAGCACCCACATGGTGGCTAACAACCATCTGTAAGTCCAGTTTTAGGGGATCCTCTTTGACCTCTGTGGGCATTGCAAGACATGGGTGCACTCACATACATGCAGGCAATACACTCAATACACATAAAATAAAAACAAAATATTTTTTAAAAAGGAGAGATGGGGGGCTGGAGAGATAGCTCAGCAGTTACAAGCACTGGCTGCTCTTGCAGAGGACCTGGGTTCGATTCCCAGCACCCACATGGTGGCTATGAACCGTCCTTAACTCCAGTTCCAGGGGAATCCAAAGCCGTCTTCTGACCTCCACGGCATTGCAGAACATGGGTGCACTCACCATACATGCAGGAAATACGCTTATACACAGAAAATAAAAATAATAATAAAATATTAACAACAATGAAAAGGAGGGATGAGGTCTGGGGTGAGAGTGGTTCCATCCCTACCTTTGCCCTTACCAGCTTTGTGCCCTAGTTCCTTCAAAGTTAAGGTGGGGAGAGAGAACATACTTGCCTTACTGGGTTGTGATGAGCAGGACAGGCCAGCAATCAGTATAGTGTTCACCCCATAAATGCCCAGTGTATGTTAATGATAACCATAAATAAAATTTATTATAGAGGGGTTGGAGAGATAGCTCAGCAGTTTAAGAGTGTGTGCTGCTCTTGCAGAGGACTGGGATTTGGTTCCCAGAACCTAGGTGTGTATGTGGTGGGGAGGCTTACAACCACCTGTAACTCCAGCTCCAGGGAATCTGATGCCCTCTTCTGGCCTCCATGGGCACTGCACTCATGCTCAAACCCACACAGATTCACAGATATGCATACAACTAAGAAAGATTTCCTGTATATAAATAACAATGATATCACAAGGTAAGTTAGCATGATGTGATGTGGTTCACATTGCCCAGTAAATATTACTTATTCACATAAGAGTGAAAACCCACATCAAATAGGTCTTCTAAAGCCAGACTATACTTTGCAGCCTGAAAATAAAAAGGATCTCTAAAGAAAGCATGTAGTGAGTGTGGACATGTGGATGCTACCAGAGAGGTAAAGCTTGAAGAGCCACCATAGAACATGGACCATGTGTGTACCTTGGTTCAGTTCAGTGATGTTCTGCTTTTGATTGGAGGGGAACTGGGGAATTGAACCTAAGGCCTTTTGCATGCTAGGCAACTGCCCTACCACTGAGCTACAAGCCCAGCTTTTCAGTGATGTCTGAAACAAGCCAACCCCTTCTCTAGTGCTCCTGGGAGGGCCGTGTGTCCTGTGTTGTTCTTGCTGCCTGGGGCTGACAGGACTGTGGGGGACAAAGACTACATTCATAAAAACAAGCACTAGAGACCAGTACTCTACAAAAGCATGGTAGTTTTGTTTTTATGATCTTGAAAAGTTAGGTACCAGCCCAGGTACCTGTAAGGTGCTCCCCAGGAGTGCAGAGAACAGATTTTATGATCCCGAATGCAGTCCCTCCCCGACTTTCCTCATTAGCTGAGTAGTTGGGGCAGGCACTGACGCTTGTCTGTTTCTCAGCAAACACGGTGCATGTGTTCGTTTCTACATTTTACAACCTGTTTATTTTATAGCTTCCCAGGCCATGATCTTGTCAGGTTGTCAGCAAACTTGTTTGTTCATGATTTTCTACACCAAATTTCCTCTTTGGGTGGGGTGACTAGACTAGTGGGCGTTAATGAGGTCCCAGTGTTTCCTATTCATCTGTAGCTGGGCCTAAGGTGCTCAGGGCACTTTTGCAAGTGAACTGTTCTTTTCTGTTTCTTACTGAGCTGACTCATTCTCTGGCCTTGCATTCCCAGGTTGAAAGGATTGTTGACAAGAGGAAGAATAAGAAGGGAAAATGGGAGTATCTCATCCGATGGAAAGGCTATGGGAGTACGGAGGACACATGGGAGCCAGAGCACCACCTCCTGCACTGTGAAGAGTTCATCGATGAGTTCAACGGGCTGCATGTGTCCAAGGACAAGAGGGTGAAGTCAGGGAAGCAGACTGGAGCCACCAAGCTCCTACAGGACACCCGCAGTCCTGCAGTGGAGAGACTCTCCCACAGGCCTCCAGAGCCAGGGAAGAGCAAGAGTGCTCCTCAGAAGCGGAAACGCATCAACTCTCCTCTGTCCAGGCCCAAGAAGGGGTCTTCAGGCAAGCCCCATGGGGCTGGAGACAGGGCTGCCAAGACTGTGTCTTACAGGACTACCCCTAGTGGTTTGCAAATCATGCCCTTGAAGAAGGCCCAGAATGGCCTAGAAAACGGAGATGCTGGCTCTGAGAAGGACGAGAGGAACTTTGGAAACGGGTCCCATCAGCCGGACTTGGATTTGAACGACCATATTGGAGATCAAGATGCCAGCGACTGTGATGGGACCCACTCAGCACTGGTGGAAAATGGAGTTGGTTGGTGGCTTTTCTTTCACTTGGGTTTGACTTATGGCTGTGGCCACTGGTTTTTTGTTTGTTTGTTTGTTTGAGAGAGGGTCTCAGGTAGCCCAAGTTGGCCTCAGACTCACTGTGTAGTCGAGGATGACCTTGGCATCCTGATCTCCTGCCTCCACCTTCTGAGTGCTGGGATTACAGGTGATACCATTATACCCAGGACATCCTTCACACTAGGCAAGCACTCTTAACAACTGAGCCATATCCTCAAATCCCACCCCCACATTTTTTACTTTAGTTCCCTATTATTGCTGCCTTCACGTCTCACACCAGGGCTGTGTGAACATGGTCACTTGCCCATGCTGGTGTCAGATACCTTTGCACAGGGGAGGCCAAGCCACTGATACTCAGCTAAAGTCCATGGTAGGTTAAACATGCCTGACTACAGCTCAGTCTATTATCTGAGGGACCTGAGAGGTTGAAGGAAGAGAGTCGCAAGTTTAAAGACACTCTGGACCACAGAGTTGCATTTATGGCCAGGCTTGGCTGCTTAATGAGATGCTGTAAGTATAAAGAGGGCTGAGGATGCTCAGTTCCCAATAATGGTTAAAAAATCCAACAAAGCAAGTTCCTACTATACAAGACACCAAAGGCCATGGTCACCACTCTAGATCCAGATCTTTGATGGCAGCTCAGGTCCTCATACCACAGGACATAGGCTTTGTCCCCAAAGGGCCAGCATCTCTCCTTTGTTCCCCTCAGAGCCCTTCTGGTTTTTACTATGCCTTTAGCAGTGTGGCCCAGAGAGGGGACTGCATAAAGGCTGCCCTCCCTTCTTCCACCCAGTTTGTAAGTGGAGTTTACCAAGCCAGCATGTCATCTGGAGCTGCTGCCCTGGAGGTGTGCCCAGTGTAGGTGATGGACCTCATTCCTGTCTTGGGCCCTGATTCCACACATCCAGGATGCTATGACAAAATACCTGATACTAGGAAATCTACATACCATGGAAACTTAATTCTCACAGTTGTAGAGACTGGGGAGTCTGAGCTCAAGGTGGCGACAGAGTCAGGGCTGATAAGGATCGTTGCTTATAGACAGGGTGCACGTTTGAGCTGTGTCCTTACTGGGTGGATAGGACAGGGGATTTCCTTTCAGATTCCTTTATTTCATTCTTTTCAGCATCTTCCTATGTAGCTCAGGCTTGCCTCAAACTCACCCTATAGTTCAGACTGGCCTCAAACTTCCTTTATAAAGGCACTAATCTCATTCAAAATAGCAGAGTGTTCATGACTTAATTACCTCTAAAGACTCTACCTCTTGAAACTGTCGCATGGCCGGGGGGGGGGGGCGGCTTAGATTTTCAAATTATAACTTTCAAGAGAACCCTAACATGCAGATCATTGTGGGTCCTAAATGCATCCCTGACCCCATTCTGTGCTGCTTCTCTTTCTCTGTCCCCTCTTGTTCCATACTGGAAGCAGCACAGTGTGAAGATTGTGTCTGGTAGATTGTAGGATTCATTCCTCTGTGGACTTTCTGCAAGTAGATCTAAGGAAGGAGGAGGCGTGGGTGACTCCAGCTCCCCAGGCTGTCAATTCCTCAGTGGCCAGATAGCTCCTTAGTGGAGACCTCAGTGGTCTGCCTGTTTGTGTGGACTATCTGTCCAAGTTATGCATGTTCCCTTGTTTCTCAGACACCTGTGTATTCACCTGTAGGCATTTTTCTCCTTTGACATCAAGGCCCTAAGCCTCAGGGGCACTAGGAAATCTTCATGGCCATGCACAGTCCATGTCAGCAGCACAGAGCTGTTAGATACCCCTGATGGAAATAAGAGTATGTGTGAACTGGGATGCCGGCATGAAGGTGGTGTGACTGGATGGGTCATGAGGCCAGTGCCTTTCAGAGATGATGCTGCGTGTAGGGTTTGGAACATTAGGGGCGTGCTCTGCTGGAGAGAGCTTGCCATCTTTAGGGGAAACTGAGCAATCACTACGAGGTTCTTCCTGCTTCAGAGAGAGAAATTTCACCCAAACATGATTTATTTAGGCATTTTTGCCCTAGCCTGAGTCATGTTTCTGTCTGGGGATCCCCAGTGCTGATATGACTGTGCCACTAGCATATGGAAACACTGTTTGTTTTAAACATTCATATCTTGGGGGAGAAGTGGGCCCGTGTAAATGAGGCTTGGCATAAACATCCATGTTTGATCCTCCCCTGACAGTTGACAGCAGTCTCAGAGTTCCGTGTCATCTTAGGGAGTGTGGTAAGGGAGCTTCCAAGACTCATACAGGAGTCTGGGCAGGACCCCAGCACCCAGGCTGTTGGCATCCCCTGCCAGAACTACAGATTCTCAAAGAGTAAAGAGGAGCACAAGGCAGGATGGTTTACTGATTGACAGCCAGAGGACAGTCTCTCCTCCACGTTAGTGCAGACCATTAAAGTGGGTGGAGCCACTAACCTTTTGCTCATTGGTGAGCTACCTGGATCTATGACCTGCTAATGGGGCCAGGCATCCATAACCAGGGCCAGGAGGTATGGACCAGCCTGCTGAGGTCTGGCAGTTTGGTGCTCTCCAGGAACTCCTTCCTCCCTGATTTCTTACCTTCTTCCTCTTTCTCCTGTGCTGTGTGTTTTCAGGTCCCTGGAGCCCCTGCAGGGATGGAGAGGAGGAAGCCACCTGCGTCCTCTGTGTTCCTGGCTGTTCCAAACGGGGGTCTTTTTCCTTAATTGCATCCCCTGGCATTGGTTCCCACTAGGTCCCGTGAGGCTAAGGCTGTTGATCTCATATTTCACGTGTGTAAGATCCCCTGGCAACCTGTGACAAATGTCCACAGATCCCTTAGTAGCTTATGTACTGATTCTGGGGTAGAGCCCAGAAGACTGGCTTTTAATAGGCCCCTTGGTGACTTTCGCCTTTCAGACTCGCTCTGTTGCAAGGTGGGACAGCAATGAGTTTCCTGTCGGGTTTCAGCGCCACTCAGTTTAGTCTTGATTCCTTGATACTTCTCAGGGATCACTGCCCTGCCAGGTCCTGGAATAGAGGGACTTCCATAAGAGGTAAGGGTTTCTTCCTTTGACATGGGCAGACTACTCTCTGGTAAGCTGGGTCGCTGCCTCTGGCTGTTAGTTTGACAAGGCGCTTGAAGCTGACACCTTGGAAGGAATCACATGTCTCCTGGTCATTAAATGGCTTGGCCACACATGCAAATCTGTAGTCACTAATGTGGTAATTGTCCCCAGTCACAATCATCCTTTAACATACCTGTTAGAACTAGCTTATTATCTAGGCCTGGAAAGAACTACAGAAAGAAAAAGACTGGGAATCCTTGCTGGAGAGAGAGATGTGTAATATCCAAAAGAGTAGATCTGAGGTTCCTGGACAAGACCCAAGATGGAAGAAGTGTTTTAGTTCTGGAACTTTCCATCAAGGAGTTACAAGTTATGTTTTCAGACAGAGGAAAGCTTTGACGAAGGCAGTGCACACACCTAAGTGGAGCACTAAATGTCTTCCCCCTCCACTTCCCACGACCCAAACCCAGCAGCTGGCCGGTTGCATTTCAAGTGGGTCCTCCTCTTTGCCCAGTAGAGGAGTGGGCTCGTGGCTGCACTCCACAGCATGTGCTTTGGGGGTGGGTTGTTGCTTTTTATAAGGTCTCCACTTCCCTGGGTGACTTCAGTTCTGTACAGAGAAAAGTGACTTATATAACACATTACTCACTCAAGGCTGCTTGTCGGTCTGTGCTGTAGGTACAAACCGAAGTTGGGGCTCCAGCGGGTGGTGAGTTTCGGGCTGCACTGTTAACCACTCCCCATTAATGCCTCTTCAGTGTGTACAGTGGTTCAGTATCCACCTCCATTCTGATTCTTGGCTAGTGACAAATGGCTTTGTGGTCCAGGGACTATGCCTCGGTGTCCTTTGGGAAGCTTGTTAGAATGGACCCCACCCCATCAGGATCAGTGTGAGTCATCTTGTCAAATGCTGAGTTTTAATAGCTCAACGTAGATGGCCGCCCCCACGGATGTGTGTGGTTGTGAGTGAGGGCTTATAGATCCCTCCCTCTAGACTTGGGGCTGCTCCTTGCATTTTAAACCTGTAAGAGAGTGGTTTGGTCATCCAGAGCTTTGAGAAGGTCCTCTCACCAATGCACTATCTAGGTCTAGGAGGATTCTCTCTCTCTCTCTCTCTCATTTTCTAAGATGACAGGCTTCAACCCTGTAGAGAAGCTGTCAGCTTAGTGAGGCCCCCCCTCCCATTCTGCCCAGGGGACCTACTCTGTGTGCTCTTCTTTACAGAGGCCACAGCCCCGGTGCTTTACAGACCCACACGTGCCTCATAACCTATGAAGCAGACACCATTGTTTTCTTCAAGCCCTTGAGTGAAGCACCACTCTCCAGGGTTCTCCAAGTGCCTGTGGATCACAAGCCTCTGGCCCCATGTCCACAGTTCTAGATTTCCAAGCATCCTTTCCCTCGTGTCTTGACAGCTGGAGTCTGTCACCCATGCCTTGCCTGATTTGGTGCTCTCAGTGTCAGTCAGTGTCTTCCCGCCCCACAGATGGGCAGCTTTTGACATTTTCTGTTTACTGAGCCTTTGGAACAATCCCAGCCTTCTCTTCTAGAATGTGCACCTCTCTTACCTGTCTTCCAGTGTGGTTAGCATCCCCCTGTCTGTGGATCATCACCGAGAGCTATGATTTAAAAGTGTTTCATACTGAAGACCAGTGTGGTGATAACCTGGGTCCCTCAAAGACAAGGGCTTCCTCAGCACCCCTGGAGTGTAGGTCAGAGCCTGTGGGAGGGACCTGAGCCTCAACATTTCCAGAAAATTCCAGGGGGTGCTGACCCAGGGACACCTACCTTGGAACCACCAAACTAGGGATTGTCCAATGAAAATGCAGGCCATTGTGAATGGCATTGGCCTCACGTTTACATCCTGTGGCCCTTCTGTTGGCCTTTACAAAACTTTAAAATGTGAGATGAGAACTTGGAAGTTGGGAATTGGAGGGTATAGGGACCGTTCT